ACCAGATGGTATTGCAAATATCACACATTCATGCCCCTATCACTACCATGAATTCCTTGAAAACAGTTATGTGGATAGTTTTCAAAACCCCAAGATCCAGTTACAAGAAGAAAAATGTATATGGGGATATATGGAGTGGGCCAGACAATGAGACTTTCAAAGCCCCAGGTTATTGGAAAGTATGAGCGAACGAGACACAGTAATGAACAGAGCTTGGATTTAGCCTTAATGTTTTTCCTAATGAGTTTAAGGTTATAAAAGAGAGAGACACTAGTCTTGCTCACAAAGAAACTAAATATCCTCTAACTCATACCACAGAAGACAAAGAGGGAATGTTGGGGAAATTAAGAGATCTGTCTTAGAGAATTCAGTAACCCCAAAGTCTAAGTATGATAATACTACTGTGCTACAGTCTGCACCTGTATTGTCCTTCAAAGGCCCAGGAAAGGGTTGAGCTCCAGTTTTTCATGGTTTGGAGGCGCTGTTGGGAAGAGGTGGGGTGTAGTGGGAGGACTTAGATTATCGAAGGCATGCGCTAAGTGGGAATGGGGGAAGCATAGCCCATTGCTCTTCCTCTCTATTGCTTCCTGAGGTTAAGTGGCTTTGCTATGCCATGAACCTCACATGATGTGCAACAGGGCCACAGGCCTGAGGTGGGACAAGCCTGTCATGAATGCTAACTCCCGAGATCATGAGCCAAGACAAGCCTTATGCTTTTGACAGCTGACTTATCTTAGGTGTTTGTCATAGTGACGAAAAGTGAATGACATGACAGTTACTAGTTGAAATCCTTGAAATGAGCCATGGAGGGAAGGAATGGCTTTTCTGCTGTCTGCTGACTCCTAGAGTCTTAGCCAGTTCCTTTGGCAAAGCTCGGGATCATTAGCTTTTGAACTATTGTACCGCATTTCAAGTGGATAGTTGCATTAGTTTCCTACTAGGTGTGTGCACACTGTAGGAATAAGTCCCGCCCCTTGGGGGGCGTGTTCGCCTCGGGCTAATGTTTGCCTATAAATTTGGCTAGCGTGCTCCCAGCCGTTGCTTCTGCTTTCCTGGTCTCCTCAGGAATGGTGGTTCTGTAAGTCTATTTCTACATTAAAGCTATATATATATATTTACTATCTGTCTGCATTCGTTTACGCCGTTACAGCACACTTAGCAGTGTTTTACATGTATAAGAAGAAAATAATATATACTTTTAAAAACATAGCCTGAGAACATGTATTATATGCAAAATATGTATGAAATTCTTTAGTTACTTGTCTATCAAGACTTTGTAAGTTTTGCTAGATACTTTGTTCCATTCCTATTGGAAATTAATAAGCTAGATGCATCCTAAAACTACAACGCTTATTAATTGGGTCTGAACAAAAAGCTAGGAATGCACAGGAGAAAAAGAACCTTATGTACTTGTGATTAGATTTTTAGGGGATAATTAAATTACGCAAATGAAAATCAAATATCTTCGCATTTTCTTGTATCGACCCCTTGTCTGGGGAGACATTAAACCCTTTCACAGAGCGCACTGTCCTTTCTCTGATGTAACACAGCAGCGGTGGGAGGAGAAGGCAGCTGCCCACATTTGTTGCTGTGGCTTCAGGGAATTTAGAAGTTGGAAGGGGCAGCGAGCCTGAGCTTGGGTGGGTCCTGAGATGTCTTCCATTCACGTCATTTCTGAGTCTAAAGGAAAGCTTCATAGCACACATTGGGGGACCCTTCTGTCACCTCCAGATATCTAATTCCAGGGTGATGATCTCCCAAATGCTCCTGTATACACTTTCCTTAAAAGTCACCCCGGACCATTGGCTGATTCTTGCTTGGGTATTTCTCCTCCTGTTATGGGAAAACGTCTCTCTTACCTTGAAGAGCTCAGAGCCTCATCTGAAGCCTTTGGAACTGATGCAGATGGCTCCAAAACATGGACTAAGGGATTGGTAGGGCCGACACCTTACTTGAAACCCCATCTACTTACATGTATTATGTTAGTGGGTTTTTCCTGAGTCCATTCCCTTTGGAAGGTCATTTAATTTTGGTGTTCTTTCTAGAGAGCCCGTCTATGATAACAAATTGTTCACACTTTTAAAGCTCTCTACACAGACATTTTGTCTCCACATGTCTGGAGACCTGCACCCTTTAAACACAAAAGAACAGATGCCAATTCATGCTCTCTGTCTCCAGCCACCCCCTTCCAAGGCTGTTGAGGAAACAGATAAGGTGTCTTAGACTTGTTTATGTACTGCACTAAATAGCACTCCACTGGTATTGGACCAGGAGTCAGGAAGAGGACCTGACTCATCTCAGGGTGACTTATCAGAGTAGGAGGGTCAGCTCTTCTCCTATTTACTCAGCAAAAAGTAGAGGCTGTTGGCTTGTCGGCTTGGATAACTTTGAAGGAGATGTCCATAATCCTGAGTGTACTGAATACAAAAAGGCTCTGAGGTTGGGAGAGATGGACCCCAGGGATTTCTCCTCACTCCCAGCCTCCACTAAGCTACTTTTGTAGAACTGCTGCCTCCACCTTTGGCCCAACCCAAAAGCTGCATGGTTATGGGCTGAGTTCTATCTGCTTTCTAGGTCTCAGTAGACAGTGGTGGGTAAGCTCCTAGTCAAGAAGGGATAAAGAGAGTCACTCATATTCTTTTTACTGGTATATTTATCCTCATTTTGTCATCTCTGCCAATCTCTATGTCTCCATACCTAATACACACTCCCGATGCTGCCCCTCTGAAACTTGAAGGAGAATGATATATATATATATATGTGTGTGTGTGTGTGTGTGTGTGTGTGTGTGTGTGTATGCGTGTGTTCATCCCCTGATTTCCCAGCCCATACCTACTCTCTGGAAGTCAGAGGATGAGGTTGAAATGTCAGCCTTTTAGTCACCTGGTTGTTCCTGACAGCCACCCATATCTACAGATGTTTAGGAGTCACATCATTAGTAAAGGGACACATGATAAGAATTCAAGGGTCTGTCTGGGCAATAGTTGTGCACTCCTTTAATCCCAGGATTTGGGAGGCAGAAGCAGGTGAATCTCTGTGAATTCAAGGCCAGCCTGGTGTACAGAGCTAGTCCTAGGACAGACAGGGCTACACAGAGAAACCCTGTCTTGAAAAGCAAAACAAATGAACAACAGCAACAAAAAGAATCCAAGGGTTCTAGAAACTTTGGGCCAAGGAGAGACACAAAAGCAAAACGTATTTCTCATTAAAAATCATAATATCAGGATTTTCCGGGGCTCTTGGACCTATAGGATTCCCCTGAAGTCTCTCGTTACCTTTTTTTTTTAATTTTTATTTTTATTGAAAAAATTTCTGCCTCCTCCCCGCCTTCCATTTCCCTCCCCTCCCCCCACTTTTCTCCCCCTCCCTCTCCAGTCCAAAGAGCAGTCAGGGTTCCCTGCCCTGTGGGAAGTCCAAGGTCTTCCCTCCTCCACCCAGGTCTAGGAAGGTAAGCATCCAAACAGTCTAGGCTCCCCCAAAGCCAGTACATGCAGTAGGATCAAAACCCAGTGCCATTGTCCATGGTTTCTCATCAGCCCTCATTGTCCGCCATGTTCAGAAAGTCTGGTTTTATCCCATGCTTTTTCAGTCCCAGTCCAGCTGGCCTTGGTGAGTTCCCAATAGATCAGCCCCACTGTCTCAGTGGGTGGGTGCACCCCTCGCGGTCCTGACTTCCTTGCTCATGTTCTCCCTCCTTCTGTTCCTCATTTGGACCTTGGGAGCTCATTCCGGTGCTCCAAAGTGGGTCTCTGTCTCTATCTCCATCCATCACCAGATGAAGGTTCTATAGTGATATGTAAGATATTCATCAGTATGGCTATAGGATAGGGCCACTTCAGATTCCCTCTCCTCAGCTGCCCAAGGAACTAGCTGGGGACATCTCCCTGGACACCTGGGAGCCCCTCTAGAGTCAAGTCTCTTGCCAACCCTAAAATGGCTCCCTTAATTAGGATATATACTTCCCTGCTTCCATATCCACCCTTCCTTTATTCCAACCATCCCATTCCCCCAAGTTCTCCCCACCCTCCCCTTCTCACTTTTCTCTCCCCATTTCCCCTTACCTCCATCCCACTCTACCCCCAAGTTCCCAATTTTTGCCCAGCAATCTTGTCTCCTTCCAATATCCAGGAGGATAACTGTATGTTTTTCTTTGGGTTCACCTTCTTATTTAGCTTCTCTAGGATCACGAATTATAGGCTTAATGTCCTTTATTTATCTCATCACCTTTTATGTTAATGGAGATCCAAGATGAAGCCTTCTTAGATCTGGGAACACAAAGAGCTAGTGACATAAGGTGTGAGCTACTGACAAATGTGGATACTGTGGCTTAGCACAGATCTTCTCAGAGATTTATAGGAATTTACACACATACACACAAACACGGACAGATACACACTTACACACACAGTAAATGTTGCATAGTAACACTCACATTATTTCTGATAAGTATAAAATAAAAACACAATTTTATGCTAAGACTACTGTGGATAGTTTCCCAAGACCTATATCAAGTCATCACCAATCTATTCTTTAGTATGTTTATAGCCCTCTGAAATCAACCTCAAAGGTAATGTCATTATGAGGTGGGTCTTTTGGGAGTCCCTTGATGAGGGCAGAACCTGCAGCATGGGCTGAGCTCCCTCAAAAAAGATGCTCTAGAGAGCTTATTGGCTCTTCTCACCACGCGACTCACAGTGGGGTATCAACAGACAGTGACCTGAAGAAAATCCGTCACCAGGTCCTCCCTGTGCTGCTACCCTGACCTCAAAAGTTTATCCTCTCAAATTGTGAGAACTATCGTTCGCCAGCCACACTGTATGTGGCGTTTGGTTATAGTAGCCCAGTGAAACTGAGCCATACCCACAACATAGTAGGCTCCATGCCTGCACCTAGGATTTTAGTAGGGACCCATAAAAGTGATTTTCAATTACAAAACAGGGGGGAGGGATGGAATTTTTATTGAGAAATATTTTAATATACAATATTAATGTATTGGTCTTTATATCAATGCAGTCTTGCATGTGGGCCTTCTATGATTGTCTTTTAGACATTAGAAATTGGCCTGTGAGGGCATAAGTGCCTTCAGCATACAGCAATCATGAGGTAGCCCTGCCCCAGAGATAGACTTCCACGACCTGGCAGCCATGTGGAAACCTCTGAGTTTTAGACATTATATTCTTTCAGTTGGTGATTTTTGAGAATGGAGTTCTTCTGAGCAAAGGAATGTTTAATGTTAGAATTCCTTCATCTTGAAAGGTGTTGGATATATTTGTGAAAGGCTTCCTGATGGCCACTCTGCAGATGCCACTGTGCACAGACCCTCTCCCCCCATACCACAACAGATACTTGCAATGAGCGGCAGACCACTTTGCCAGAGTCTGCGGGCTGAGTCATGAAATCTTAGCATCTTAGCGCTTACAGTAACTGTCGGACCTCTTAGGCCCAACCCTCCACCAACTCAGGGTGTCTTTGTCCTCACTCAGCATCTCAGTTTTCTCTGTATTATCATCTTCTGAAGAAGCTCTGTTGGCGAGAAAACACAGAGGCTTAGGTTGCTGTGGAGACAGCAGGACACTCTCAGAATGAGTGTACCTCTGTCCACCTGAGCCAGCGATGGTTGGCAATTCACAGCCCCTGGGCGGAGCCCACCAGGATCATTGTTGTCTCTTCCTCTTGGGGGGATTGTTCCAGACCGTCATCTACCACCTTGTGGAGAGCACTGTAGTGTTCCCGGTCTTGGTGGAATGCATGTAGCTCGGAAGCCGCCTCCCAGGCAGCAAAAGAGGGCATGGGAAAGGGATCCGGCCTCTTGTTTTCAAAAAAGCATTTCAGGTTCCTCTCACTCAGCTTGTTGGCACATTCCAGGAGTTTGTTTTCCAATTGTTCCTTCTCACTTTGTGCGTATGTCTTCCAAAAATTCAACTGCAGATAGCTAACTTTAGATTTGCAACGTGCATAGCAAGTGGTCAGCAGAGAGAAGAAGGATGCCGAACAAATCAGACACCATCCTAGAATCTTAGGGAAAAAGAGATATTGAGGACACAGAAAAGCAAAATGACATCTCAGAGAGCTGGGTACTATTCCGGGAGAGAATATAACCATGTTAATACCACAGTTGTTACTGCCATCTCATCTCAAATTATCCACCTTAACTCTAAATGCTTTTTGACAGTCAAAATAAAGATGAAGTTGACTCAACATTGTTGCTCTGCAAAGCAATAACCAGAAAGCTGACAGATGGAAAGAGTGATTACCGAATAACTCACTCCTAAAGCACTTCCAATGGTATGGCTAGAAGAAAGAATTCTTTCTAATGCATCGTGGTTGTTATTTGAATGAACAAGCGGGTGGTGAGCCAGGTGTCCAGGCGTTCATCAACTCATTCACACACTCCTGAGCAACTTTTCCCATGGGACTTTGTAGAGAGCAGCAGCCATTCTGTGAATCCCAAGTGCATTGCTCACAGTTGAAAAAAAAAAACAGACAAGCAAAAACAATACAATAATTGCAGCAGTACACAGAAACTTTAAGAATTTAAAGCTGTTCTAAATGTTTAGAGATAAAAAGGGGGAGGGTCAGGTCATCTCCAACTTGGAGGATTGTTTGTTCTTAATTTCTGAAGTTAGAAAAAGCAAGCAGTTTCCTAAACACGAATGCTCTTATTGGTGTTTTAACTTTAAAACCAAAAGTCTATTGTTAACATATCTTCTAAATTTGCTGGTCCAATTTTGAACTTTTCATAATTCGAGTTAATTTTATATTTGAACAACTAACCAATTTCTTGAAATCATCTTTCGATTTCAGTTCAAAGAATGCTTGACAGACGGTCCCAACTGAGCACATGAGCAAGAGCCTGCAGTTGGATCCACTCAGATCATAGGAGAGCCAAAATGAGCTTTAACTCAGTGGTTCCCAAACTCAGGAGTTACTAGACGGGTCTCACCCTGTATAAGTGCCATTTCTGAGTTGGTATTCCTCAGGGGAAACACCTGGCTTTCTCCTCACCATGGGTGTTTCCTGTACCTCTTTCTCTATTATGATTTTAAGGTTACCCATCTCAGAAGATATTTGGGGGGACCCAAAGAAATGATACTGGGCAAGAAGCTCGTGAGTTTCACCTGCTATCCACTCGTTTGCAAGTGTCTCTTTCTGTCGTCTGGCAGCAGGTGAGGCACAGTCACTATGTAACAGGAGTCATAGCATCCTCCAGTCATCAGTGGGCTTGGGGCTGACTCCCTCAGAGCTTCCTTTCTTTCAGCACCCCTTCTCCATTGTGTCTGGGCCTCCTGTGATTGAAGCTATGTCCCCACACCTACCTGAGCTAATCCTGATGAGATAGAAACTATGTGATCGACTCAGATCGGCTCTTGCTTTCTGCACAACCTCAGCGTTGGCTGTTTCTCAATGCTGAGTCTTCTCCTCCTCCCAGGCCCACAGCACCTAGAAGTCCAGCTAGAATGAGGAGATTGTGCCACATCCAGCCCCGAATAGTATCCTATTTGTCTCTTTCCCCAAATCCTGCCAGTTTTCTCTGCATCTTGAAATATTTAATAATGTCCTAGAAACTTTATGCCTCTTTATGTCCATTAACTCTAAGTAACTTTCCAGAGTGTCACCATCCCTCACTGTGAGAAGAATGGGATTGAGAGTTCTACACCACAGAGCTGGGGAGTGGCAGCGTCAGGATTCAAAGTCAGCTGATTGCAAGGCTGAGCTCTTTCCACTACTCCGTTCCACCATCCTGAAGAACAGAGAGTCACCCAGCTGGGTTTCTTGTTGCTCTGCCCCACCCACCCATGAATGAATGCACTTTTCCACCTCCGCCCACATGGCCAATTATTGTTTTGAACTGTGTGGTGCTTGCTGCCATCTGAACCTCACAGTCAGCACCTGCTATTGCCACATCTCCCTTCATCCACATCTCTCGGATATCCTCCTGTAGGTCTTAACCCCAAGTCCTTATGCTACCGAAAATTCAAAAGGTCGCTGTGGCCAAGCTAAGTTATAACCAGATGTGCATATTTTCTTTGGGCTTAGATTTAAAGAAGAGCTTACACAGTGATGAGCGTTTGGACTTGGCATTGGCTGGATGGAGCCTGGTGCCTGTGGATGTCAACCATGTGTCAATTGTACTATGATAACATTAGTAATTAATACCTTCCCTCAACAAAAGACGGAATGCACTCAGGAGCCTGACATGTTCCATCTAACCTATGCTTTGTGCATTAAACAAAGGAGTTTATTTGGGAACATTTTTTTGGCTTATTAGTTTATGAAGAATATGATTTTATTACTATTTTAGATGGTACGAGCCAACTTTGCTTCGATGCGTTTGTTATAACCACAAGTTCTTTCTAAAATAGTAAAAGTATAGTGTGCCTGTGCTGATAGCATTCCTGAGAAATGGTGACTCTGTTTGCTCCTATCTACTCCTATTGCTTCTTCTGACCTCAGAAATAGGAAATCAACTTTATCTCAAGGCCAGGCCAGGGCTATGTATGCAACGAGATCTGTGCTCATATACCTGGCCAAATGACAAGTTCCTTCCCTGTGTTGATTAGATGGAGCTGTAAATTACTTCTCGGAAGTAAAGCAATAGTTCAAATTCCGAGCTTCTAAAGGATGGCGAGAGCATCTTTAGCTGTACAGCATAGAGAGAAAAGTCATCATCTCTCTAGGGAATATGGTCACTCTTCACTGAAGGCCTTTTAAAGACTGCTTGGTCCCTCTTTCGTTTGGGAAACTCTTGATCCCGGCAGTATCCATGCACACAGGGAGCAGTGGCCAGTGTGGTCACTCAAGCGAGTTTCCATGCTAATGACACCACATGCTACTTTGAGAAGGAGAAGCTGATTTGGCTCGGCTGAATTTCGGTGGATGAAGAAGTTGTGTCTGCGATTTTTGAGAAACCAGCTTGAAAATTAAGTAATCGATAGAAGGCAATAATGCTTAATTACAGCTTGGGGTTAGCACTCAGTGTGTGGCTTTTCGTTCTGCATTATTTACAAAGTCAACCCAGAGAGATGGTTTTGAGCACTTAAGTATTTACATATGTATAACCCAGAGGGTATTTTCTTTTTGGAAATGGAGACTACACTATCCAATCAGCAATTTTACTGATCCACCCTGTCCCTGAAAAGCTTCTCCTGAGATTGTCTTAATGTGCGGTCCTGTTTTAATTTCCACTTAGTGTGAAAATATTCCGGCAAGACTCAAACTCTGGCCTGGCAGACAGGAAGACAGAGAGGAATCTCCACGTTCACACTTGGAACAAAGAGTGACATTTGTCCTTACCTGAGACTGGGCTTGCAGGGACAACTTCACCTCCTCGTTGTCCGTGGGTGCCATGCTGCTTCTGCCACAGGAGACTTTGTACAGCTCTTCCCAGCACTCTTTGGGCTTGCCCTTGCAAATCATCTCCAGGAGACTCGTGCTCCTTGTCCCGCTCATAGCACATTCGTAAAACGTCCCGTTCAGCAAAGCCACAGAGAGCCACATCACTGGAGCCACCAAGGAACTCAGTGTGATGTGGCCCAGGACGTAGAAGAAGCGGCAGCAGCGTTTCCTGGGGAAGATTTTCTTGGGATTTATACAGCAGCCAGTGAAGAGTCTCCACGCCTTGTTGTTTAGAAAGAATCCAAGGATCAGTAACACCCAGGCAGGGGCAAAGAGGAAAACCAGCCCATAGGCTGTGTTCTCCGTGCTGCAGGGGCACTTAAAGGCCACTAGTGAGAAGAGACGCTCACTTCCCAGGGTCAGCAAAGCCATGAAGCTGTAGCCAATAGCCGTCTTTTGGTTAAGAAAGAATTTCAGAATACTCTGAAAAGCATCCATGTTGGAGACACAACGACGTGGGGGAAGAGGAAAGAGCGCTTGCGAGGGGGAAGAGGAAAGAGCGCTTGCCTTGGTTGTAGCACAGCAGCTGTGGCTGTGGAGGGTGGAGCCCTTTTGAAGCACCACAGTCCTCCTCTGTCTGCCTCCAGCCAGATAAGGAAACAATGTCATTCCCCAGGAATGCTAATTTCCCAACCACGTTCAGATAATGCCTCCTACTGGTGAATGCTGACACTTGAGGGCTGAGGCGCTGAAGAGGAAAAGCAGCGTGCACAGGTTCCTATTAATATTCTTCCGGTGGGCTTTTGATTGCAAATCGAAAGTTCTCACACAAATTATGGTGCAGAAAATTTCCAGCAGGAGACTTGACCCTCGCGGAAATGGGTTTCCGCCATTGACTGACTGGTTGTCAATCCAGTCTCCAAACCCAGCATTTCACAATAGGTTTCTTCTCTTGCTCTATGCCCTAAGAGCTGGTAGACAGCGGTTCAGGTGTCCTAAAAGGGCTTGCACTAAAGACTTGAAACACCGTTTAGAATTGGGATGATTGGAATTTATGAGGGAAGTCTAGTAACTAACTGAGCTTTCAGAGAAAAAGAGGAGCCCTCACTTCTCTTCATGTGACTCCTTGATTCAGATCTTGATCATTTGACACAAAGAAAACCCTTCTAGAGCAGACGTGGAGTCTACATGAGGATGTCTTCAGGCCTCCCAGCTGCCCACCAGGTGGTAGATTTGGACCTTTGCTGAACCTCAGCATGGCGTTTCATGCCAAGACATGTTTCTGTCTAAAGTGTCTCTGCCCCCATCTGTACCCCACTTTGTCCACCAAATGCTAGCTCTCTCCATGCTCATGTGTTCAAGGTCTAATTCTGGTGTTGGAACATAGACTTCAAACTCATTCAGTAGCTTGATTTGCAAGTGACGACTGAACTTACACTGTGGCAGGCCCTTGAGAGACAGGTGCTCCTCCATAAGAGCCTATTAAATTGAACCAAATGAGCAAATGAATGGACATTTTTCACCTTCAAATTATAAATAATTTAAGAAAATTGCTTCCATTTCTCCTATGCTGCTCTTAATTTTAAAATTAAGCTAATTAAGGCCTTTGAATGATGGCAGCACATCAAGCTGACAAATTTCTATTAATAAGCTTTAGAAGCTGTGCCTAGGTGTTTGGTGAAATTGCCTTGGATTAGGAGCCAGGAACTAAAAGATCAGTCTTTACTTCTCTAAATACCAGATCACACATTTGTGAAACTTGTGCTTCCAAAGAAGCAGTGGAGCCCGTGAGAGAGAGGGCTGATGGGTAAAGGTGAATTCCAGTTAGCTTGAGGATCCGAGTTCTATCCTTAGAAACCGCATGGTAGGACAGGGGAACCAGCTTCTCCTCGTCCACTGATGTGTGCCAACCACACACATGCACACACACACACAACAAATAAATGTAAAATAATGTTTCAAACAGAAGTGAGTCCCAGCCCTGCTTAAGATCTGCTTAAAAACAAAGACAGACAGAAAGCAAAGGCTGTGGAGGACAGTTGGAATGTCTAAGGCTCTTCTGGCTCTGTGCTGCGGGGTTCTTGGCGTCCTACACTGCAGCAGACACTTTCGACAATTGCGTTATCACACATTTATGTTGCTCCCACCACTGCGTCTTGCTCCTCCTCGAAGATCAACATCTACAGTATAATTCTGTGTCCAAAACCACATCCTCATGCCTAATCTGCCCCATGGCACAGTATGTTCTCAGACCAGTGCCCTCCTATTGTGGAATATGCCCGGAACCTCTGAACTCTTAATCTCAGGGTCTGCCACGATCAGTGTGGCATATACCACAATGTTGTGTTGATGCATTTTCCCCAAGGGTTTTTAGAAATAATATTTTCTTTTTTTACAAACCATATTGTTCCATAAAACCTAGTACTGTAGGATATTCTAGAAGAATTAAAAAATAATTTAAGAGTCTCCCATGGCAGATGGCCAGTAAACTGCAAAGAAAAGTGTGGGCACAGATACCCTGGCTGCAGCCTCAGCTTGGCAAGCTTGATGCCGTGCTGCAATTCCCGGGAAATGGACTTCGGTCTGAGGCTAAATGCTGACATCTTCTCTCTCTTTATCAGGTTGCTTTCAAGATGTATTTGGGCATCACGCCGAGCGTGGCCTGTCACAATTCAAGCCGAAACGAATTCTCCCTGATTCTAGACAAGAATCCTCTGGCTGAGTTTGTGGAAGAGCTGCCTGCTGGACGATCTGCGCTGTGCTACTGCAGCCTGCTCTGTGGGGTCATCCGAGGCGGCCTGGAGATGGTAAAGCACGTGCTTTATCTTCGTCATGCGTGTTAGCCATCCAGTGCTGTTCTCAAAGTGTACCAGCCTAAAAGGAATGCACAGTCACTAAAGATGCGATGTCTGGGACCGAGCAAGGCCTGTTACTGTAAGCCTGTTCAGCTCAGCTCCTTGGGAGGTACCAACCATAGGAAGATCAGGATTGTAGGTTCAGGGCCAAGTTTGTGCTATAGAAAGCAAATTCAGCACCATCCTGGGCAACTCAGTCCGGTTCCGTATTAAAATTTTAAAAGTGAAATGGAAGACTAAGGACTTTTGCCGGAGAGAAAGAAAAGAAATCTGGGAGACGGCTCGGCATGTGCCGTTAAGCCTGAGAGCCTGAATGCGGTTCTTAGAACCAACATTGTATAAGACCGAGCTGACTCCTGCAGGTTGACTTTCCTTCACACTCTGCAGAACATGCGTATGTGAGAGCACACACCACATGCTAAACTGATTAGTAAAAAGGCAAAGAGCCCCAGGAGTAGGTCACGCAGTTGTGGCTGATGAGGATCTCTCGCAGCTTAGTTTACAAGTAGCCTCTGCAGACTTGCTGATGCTAGACAAACCACCCACAGGTTCACACAGTGTCGGTGCCTTGCAGGCCACTGTGTGGACGCACCAGAAAGTTCCTTGCCACTTAGACCTCTTTGTAGATATAATCACAGCATGGCAGTCTGAGCTGCCAACCTTGGGGCTATGTGGGAGTGGACTAGCTGAGGACTTGTGGTACAGGAGGTACAGGTCAGTGCAGGCTGACTTTCACACCTAAGGTATTCATTGTTTTAACTTAGACAGTTATTAGCATCCGTAAGGTGCCTGGGACTGAGCCTGCAAAGATGGACAAGATACAGAGAATCTCTTGTCTAGTTTAAGAAGTCATGTGCAGATAAGTGTGATACAGGGGTTGAGGGAGACCTGGAGTAGGAGAGAATCTGTACAGTCTTGATAGAAACTCTGAACTGACTTTCTAAGGAACCATGGGAGTTAGGTGAAGCCTTTTGTAAAGCGAACAGGAAAAGAGTAATATTTCAGGTGGAAGGGACAGAATGTTCAAAGGCTCCTCAAAATAAAAGAACCAGAAACTCAGATAGTTCAGGACTTACATGAAGACTAAGAGAGGGACTGCCATGGGAAAGGCTTGAATTCTTTAAAGATAAAAGAAGGGATCCACATGACAAGCTGGGAAATTAAGTCTTCTATATTGAAAGTACCAGAGCAGTGCATACAGGTTTATAATCAAGGCAATAAGAGTCTGAAATTTACGTTCTAGAAATTCCAATCCCTTGTCAATCAGATGAGAGTGTACACTGAAGAGAGAATGCTGAGGGAGGGAGGAGAGCAGACATAAAGCTGGTGCTGGGAACCTCAATGAAAACCAGAAGGCATCCCTGGCAGCAGTAATCAAGAGGCAACTCACTGGACCAGTACTTGTCAGGGCAGAACAGTCAAAACTCAGATGTCAGCTGGCAGAAAGGGACACGATTGAAAAAAGAAAGATTGAAAAATGGCCTTCAGGTTTCTGAACAAACCTGTAGGGGAAATTACAATATTAACCAACAGAACAAAACTAAAAGGGTTGAAATTGACAAGGGGGAGCTCAGTTTTGAACCTGTTAATGCTGAGATGTTCAAGAAACACACAGTGAGGATTTCCAAAAGAAGTTGTCTCTTTTTTTTTACTCATTTATTTACAGACAAGGTCTCATCATGTAGCACAGGCTGGCCTAAAACTCATGATCCTCCTGCCTCAGCCTCAGAGTCCTGGGATTACGGGTGTTTACTGCCATGCCTTGCCCCCGTTTTTTATATGTGCCTGTGGAATATGACTGACGAGGTGTCAGAACTGACAGAAATACCTAAGGAGATTCTGTGTAGTGGGAAGAAAAGCAAGCATAGTTAGAACTCTAGGAAACAGAACAAAATTATAGCGTTAAACAGAGCACCCAAAGACTACAAAGGGGCAGCAACAAGGAGTATTCAGAAGAAAGAAACTGATAGAGGGTGATGGATGGGGTCACAGAAACCAGAAAGCAGAGTATTTCAAGAAAACTAACAAGACCAACTCAACACAGTTAGCTCTGCAGGTAGGGTTTTTCATCAGAACCACCTGCTTCCAAATAACCACACAGATTTATTATTAATTATAAATGCTTGGTCAATAGCTTAGGCTTATTACTGACTAGGTCTTACATCTTAATTGACCGAAATTTCTTATCTGCACTCTACCATGTGGTGGTACCTCTTTTCACCATGGCACGTCCACCTCCTACTTCCTCTGCATCTAGTTGGTAACTCCCGTGACTCTGCTCTCCTTCCCTGCATCCCCTCTGCCCCCCAAATCCTGCCTAGCTATTAAATGTTCAGCTTTTTATTAAACAAATCAGAGGGCAAAGACACATCTTCACAGTGTACAAAAGATTATTCCATAATATACTACCAATTACCAAGGCTTTGGATAGGGCCTTGGTAGAGGTTGTGATGAAGAAAATATGAGAAATAAGAGAATCTGTCAGACTGGTGAGGCTGCAGCAGCTGACGAAGAGGCAACAACCAGCAGTCTTGTTTTTCCAGAATCTTCTCTATGAGAATGAGCTCTTAACCATTCTAAACCTGTGTTATTGATCTGCTCAATAAGGATCCATGCATATAATTTTATTTGTGGAAATTAAGGAAGGGATAAAGTAACTGATATTCCCAAAGTGTAAGACAATGGAGATAACTGCA